ATAGACACTTTCATCATTAAATTATGTTTTATTCCAAAAACCTGTGTTATCTTCACACACATCCTCCGCAAACCTCATTTTGAGTCATCTCCCCCTGAGCTCTGTGGTTTGTTGTCCTAGGGCGCCGCCTGTTGGCGATCTCTGGGAAAAGCTGAACCTCCAGATGCCGGGGATGTCTGACGGGCGGGGCTGGCATAGCGGGGAGACGCTGTGCAGCCGTGGAACGTCTTGAAAATGGTCCCGAACAGTGCTTCCGTCGTTGATGGGGGCCCTCCAACAAAAAAACTTTCTGTAGCTCCTCCAAGAGGAAGATGGAGTGACGGGCCAGGTGGACCTCTGGAAAACCTCGTCCTCTGGCTGCAATGCGAGACCGACAGACAACAAAAGAGGCGCACAGGTTGAGGATGACGTCAGCTGCCTTGCAGAGGGAGCGCTACGTCTCCTCCAGCCTCTTGAACGTTGTACGCCAGCAGCATAACGTGTTATTCGCTGCGGCTGCCTGGAATGCACACTGGTGAGCTCGGTTGGAGAGCGACATCACCGTCTGGTCATGCTTACCCGGAGGCGCAGGACGCTGGTCCAACCTGGACATCTTTGCTCCGAAAGCCTCCGCCAGGCTCGGCTCAAGGGGGGCACCGAGGGAATTTCCGCTCGGTGAAACCCCTCCACTCTGGTGATGGGCGCGGTTGTGTGAACCGACACCCTTATTCTACCAGGAACCGGCTGTGGCCTCGTCCCAGTAGGACGTCACTGCTGGGAAACGAGGCCAGATGGGATCAGGACATTGAGCCGGAATGGAGCCCAAAAACCTTCCCGCTAGATCATCCGATCTGGGGGGGGGGGATGGAAAAAAAAAATCCCTTCATGTCAGCCTCCTCCTGGATTATGCCAGGCAGCTCCAGAGGAGGGCACCGTTGGCTGTGAGCGGTGTGGTTGCCGATGCGAAACAAGGTCGGGGAGGGGGGCAGCATTCGCTCAGCCCCCCTCGTTCCGACACTACGATCTCCAGGAGGGAATGAGCAGCGGGGGCTGCTGCTGACGTCGCCTGTCCTGGAGGAATTATCCGATTCGCTCCGAGAGTCGCGATAAAAGGAAAATTACAATATGGCGTCGTCCAGCGTGTAGCGACTTGCCACTGAGAATACTCCTCGGCGATTACCTTGAAACAAGACTGCTTGTCTGCTTCTCCTCGGGGAGGAGAACTTACCGGGACGACAGGAGGTTGACGTGGTGGGGCCACAGGCAGTCTTAACAAAGGTTGGTCAAGCTAGACAACTTTCCTTCTTCGTTCTTCTTACAGTGCAATTAGCTCGCTGAAGAAAAATGGGGAGATAACTTACGATAAATTTGTGAGTTTAGTTTGTATAAAATAACATTAACAAGCAAAACTGTCAGAGTCAGCCAAAATAATACGTTTAATTTGTTGTCCTTTGATTGGTTTTTAGAGATCCCCTCCAAAAACAGAAAACAAGATTTAAACATCTCCATCTATCTATTACTAATTATTATTCGTGGTCCAGTCAGGGAGGCAACAGGTCCAGGAGAGAACATCCCTAACAACATATCCCAGCTCCGTCTGGTGGAACACAGGTCATTCCCAGTTCAGAGAAGATGTACAAATCTCTCCAGCAAGATCTGGGTCTGCACCGGGCTCTTGTCCCAGTGGGCCACACCTGGAAAACCTCAACAGAAAGTGTCCAGGAGGCATCCTAATCACAAGGACTCCTTTCGATGCAAAGGAGCAGCGGTATACTCCGACCTCCTTCCAGACGCTCCTCCCCCGATCTCCAAGTCTGAGCCCGGCCACCCTGCGAAGGAAGCTCATTTTAATTGCTTGTATCTGGGATCTTGTTCTTTCGGTCATGTCCCATACCTCATGACCATGAGTGCTGGAAGGTAGACAGACCAGTAAACTGTGAGCTTTCCTTTCAACTCAACTCTTCACCATGACCGACAACACAACACCCTCATTACTGGAGACAAGGCCCTGATCCGTCAATATCATGCCAAGAGAACTTAAAATGCTGACAGTATGTAATCAAGTTCAAGACATACTAATAGTTTTATTGCAATTAGTTATTGTTGTGACTTGTGTGTCTGTTTTCTTTCTTTGAGTTTGGTTTAAAAGGTACAAGCCATTTAAAAACACCAGTTAATCCTGCAACACGTCCACTAAAGGATGATTTAGGTTAGGAAAGGTGTTTCTTCTCAAAACCAACATTGTCTTGAGAAGTTTTCTGATTTTGTTGCATTGCAGGTTTTTCCTGTGAAGTCCCCTCTTGCTCCTATACTTTCACTTCTTCTCTAGCAGTGATGCAGGTCTTTTAGTCATCAGTGTAGTGCTTGTTTCCATAAATATACCTGTATATACTGTATTAGCAATGTGTGTCCAGTGAAACGCATCACTTGATAGGTCTCCTTTTTTTCTGTACCTTCTCCGGTGACTACCGCCTTCCTCTTTCATGACACATTTCTTCCTCTTTGGCTGAAGCCTATAATTGTCCTTTCCATAATATTCATATTCATAACATCATTGTGAGTGCACCATGGGAAGAAAGATGCGATATGAGGGGTTTGGTGTGCATTTGTGTGCATGCAAGGTGTCAAATCCTGTCAAAATACAGCAGCTCTTCCCCACCCAGTATACTGCAGTGATTACATAGTTATGTGAAAGCAAATAGGATTAATTTATGATAACGCCTCACGACAGCTGATTTTTATATCAAAGTTGTCCACTCCTTGTGCAGTCATGGAGCGAATGAACGTCGTCAAAACCTCATTACATTTTTCCACACCTTTATTAGCGTTTCTGCTTGATTTAGCTCACTTCTGCCATCTGGCTCTGTATAAAATGTATTTATGGACTGTACTTATTTAGCTCCTTTCTGTCTTATCAAGCTCTCAAAGCTCTTTACACTACAATCTGTGTCCTCATTTACCCATTCATACAGCACTCTACTAGATCTGTACGAAGACTAATCAGTGCTTTATCACATTCATGCACTGATGGGACACACATCGGAGGCAATGAGGGGTTCAGTGTCTTGCCCAGGGACACTTCAACATGTGACTGTTGGTGGAATCGAACCCCCAACTCTTGCATTGGAGGACGACTAACCACTCAGCCACAGCCGCCCTTTAGTTCATTATTTAATAGGATTATGGTTTTAAAATCTTCAATCCAGGGACAAATATGTAAATAATCCAGTGTGTTTGACAAATTAATGATGCAAGTTACAGATGTTAGCGCGTATGGCTCACTAGCTTAATAATGCAATTGTAGCAATTCATTAATGTTTATTTAAGCAAACAGCAATGTTAAATGTGAAATAATTGCTGCCCTGTCTAACTGCAAATATGCTGCCTGGCTAGCATAGCCAGCTACTTAGCAAGATCAGGGGTTCCCGACCCTGGTCCTTGAGGAACACCATCCGGCATGTTTTACCATATTTTTCAGCCTATAAGTCGCAGTTTTTTGCACAATTTACATGTCCTGCAACTTACAGGCCGAAGCGACATTTATGGATTTTTTTTCTCATATTTATAAAACAATTTTTGGCTAAGATGACCGTTTTCATTCATTCTGACTGGAAAAAAAAAAAAAAAAAAGCAGTACCAATTTCAGCCACTTGATGGCAGCAGAGTAGTAATAGTTATTTGGCATGTTCTTGTATCATGTAATAGGTAAACGTGGCTATAATGACAAAATCAGAAATGTTCTTAGACAAAAACAACTGGACTTTATTTATTATACTTTATTTTATACTTTGTTTTTTTTCTTGAACTTTATTTTTAATTGACCATGTCCTGGATGACTGAGAATCTTCACCACCTTTAAATCACCCAATCGGCTTGCCAAAATCTCCTCACCTTCATTCTGCTTGTTGCTTGGAACCATCAAAACAGCTGCACCGCCCTGGCGAAATGCAGCTAATTTGACCATTAAACTGCATTTATTAAGCAAATGTTAGACTGAGACACTACAATTTCGAACAAACAAATAATTGTTAGGTTGTTTATCTTTTTAATTTTCTGAGAAACAAGTCCCCTTCCTCCTTTTTTCCTCCCTGTCTGCGTGCTCCCGGGAGCACCTCAGCCAAAACTATTTTTGAAATACAGCTGATTTGACCATAAAAGTGCATTTATTAAACAAATGTTACACTGATACACACATTTAATATAATTTCGAGCAAACAAATAATTGTTTTTAGTGTTAATCTTGTTAAAGTCCTCCCATGCACGCTCCTGCAGCCACCATTTGACAGCCAATCGATTTTTGGCACAACACCGGCCCACATTTCCAGGTTTGGCCCACATTTCCAGGTTGTCCGTGGTGACGCGTAACAAACACGCGTCAGCAGTGACGTATAATAGATGCGACATATACGTCAAAGCGACATGTATGGATTTTTCCACTTTATTAAACAAATATGGACTGATGTGACTCATAGGGCGGTGTGACGTGTCCGCCGGAAAATATGGTAGTTGTTTCTCTGCTCTGACACACCTGATTTTAATTAACGGGTGATTTACAGGCTTCTGCAGAACGTGAAGAAGTAATTAAATCTCTGAATCAGGCGTGTTGGAGCAGAGAAAAGATTAAAACATGCAGGGTGGTGTTCCTCAAGGAACAGGGTTGGGAACCACTGAATTGTCTCTGGTCTAACTAACAGCAGTTAATCAACAACAAATAGGTGCATTGTTCCACATCACAATGTCACCATTTGAATCACTTAAACAAAATTTCTGCATGCTAAGACAGGTACTATAATTTTAGTCCAACTAGTAGCTTGTGGGTCTTTTGAGGGTTTGAGACTTGAACAAAAAGAAACCTGTTTGTTGCACTTTTACTAGTACAGTAATGAATTGTGTTGGACTTTGGCCCAGTCATACTGCAGCTATTTTTAAAAACAAAAACTTGCTATTAATGGCAATATTAAAAAAAAAAAAAAAAAAAATGTCTTCATGTTCATATACCCTTCTTGTTACATCTTGTGCAGGTCTATTACCAGAGCGTACTACCGTAACTCTGTGGGCGGCCTCCTCCTCTTTGACATCACCAACCGTCGCTCCTTTCAGAACGTCCACGACTGGCTGGAGGAGGCTCGCAGCCACGTCCAGCCACACAGCATCGTTTTTCTGTTGGTGGGCCACAAGTGTGACCTGGAGGCGCAGCGCCAGGTGGGTTCAGTTAAAAAAAAAAAAAAAGTCAAACCAGGGAATACTCATTAGGTTGATTTGTGCAAAAATTACACTTTTCTTGTTTTAAAAAGAACTGTTCATTTTTAAATCAGAGCGTATTTGGCTAAGAGGCAATAGGCGTCACTTTTTCTTTTTAAATTCTCATGCGGCAGCTGGAGGAGGGAGAGCTAAAATAACAGGATGACAAAGCAAAATCCTCTGCACAACAGCATGCAGTACCAGAGTCGAGGACTCCAGATCAAATAAATCAGTACATTTTGTAGAACCTTCCATATTACCAACCTTATTCCAGTCTGTCCACTGTCATCACTTAAAGCAGTTAGTATCTTGGACAACTTGTCGGGTTTCTGCTGTTTGGTTGAACCCATGTGCGGGCAGAACTCAGAGATCTCAGAAATAAAGTAAATAAAGTAAAAGGTTATTTAATAGAATAAACAAAAAGGTTAGAGTGGCAGCAGCAACTTACATAATCATGGGAGAGACACGTAGGGAGGCAGATACAGGACACCATAAAGGACAATGCCCACACAAAGGAGAACACAGACTTATATAAAGGGGTGTTAACGATAGACAACGACTAACACCTGGGGCATAGACAATCAGAAACAGCTGCGAACGCAGGCGCTAGGACAGACCACAAGAGGGAGACACACCAGAAAAACACAAACCCTGACACAGTTAACATCTTACCTGTTGTAGATAGCTCTTTGAACAACCTCAGTTTGTACACTTAGTGTTTGATTGTGATTGGATTGACAAGCGTTACTTAGCATTACAGAGACTTTTGTTGTTATTTGCAGATGGAAATAGAGGCAGCAATAACCAGCTGTAGCACTTGCAGTTCAGACTGAAACACTTCTGGCAGGAATATTATAACATTTCTCTCTGATTATCAATGAAATGTAAAATGTTAAGGCATTGTAAACATTTATAAAGTAGCATTTGTTTTACTGTTTTACATCGGCTGTTATACGCTTTGGTCTTGGCCTCACTCAGGCTAGCTGTTAACTTGTCGGTCCGGTCAGAATTATAAGTGCTATGTGTTGTCATCATTGCATGTTTCTATACAATGATGAAATTAGTTCTCTGCATTTAACCCATCACAGCTGAGATGCACCCAGGAGGAGCAGTGGGCAGCTATGCAAGTGCCCGGGGAGCAATTAGGGATTGGGTGTCTTGCTCAAGGACACCACAGCATGTGGGCTGTACACAAACTGAGGGTGTTCACAGAGCTATCTGCAATAGAATCACACTTAGAAAGATTTAAAATGTACCCTTTTTTTTTGTAACTTTGAAGCTGATTTACCATCTGCTTTGTTCACATCTCAATTCCTAAAGTGATACCAGATATGGCACTGTGCCACTGTCTACACTCCTCATTCCACACCGCACCAGTTAGGGTGCGGTGTGGAATGCCTGCCCACTGCTGGTACCCACCCCCAGTCAGGTTTATGGGACCACCTTGTTCATGATTGTAAGAGAACGGCTCCGATGTGACGATTTAGACATAAGCAGACAGCAGCTGTTGACTGGCCAGCGGAGCTACGTCACTGGATGACCCGCCCAGTAAAACTTCAAACTACATCTGAACCTCCACTGCCTCATCATGTTGACAGGTGGTGCCACAAGAAATGAGCACAATACGGTAGTCCCTCGCTACTTCACAGTTCATTTATCGCAGACTCGCTCTATCACTGTTTTTCAAAATAAGACTGGGCATGACACACAATTTGCTGACTGATGGATGAGCCGCACGATCAGCATGAAAATTTTATTTAAAATAAATTATTTTACATTATTTAGCACCTGCTGCACATTTGTGCAGCTCACACTGCAGGATAAACTTCCTGCTGCAGCTGATCAGCTGTTCTCCGTGCAGTGCGGAGAAGTGGGCGTGGCCAAGAGCGCTTGCAGGTGGCAAAGAGCAGAGGAGGCAGAGAGCTGAAATCATGACATTCTGTGCTCTTTTAGAGCATTTAGAGTTTGGAAAAATTGTTTAGAATATTGCAAGAGTGTGGGAAGAATTTAAAACACCTTTATATATATATTTATATAAATAATAAAATAAACTACTACTTACTACTTGTACTACTATTCCTACTTCGCAGTTTTCCACTTATCTACTGTATAGCAAATTATCCGAGATGATGATGCAGCATGGCTACACCTGTGCCGGGATAAGCTAAAGAAATTGAAGTCCGATTACAGAGCGATTAAGGATCACAATGGACGGAGTGGGTCGAACACAATGACCAGTTATGAGACCGCCCACTTTGCATTGATGATCCCGCCCACAGAGCGGGGAAACAAGTCACAGTGGTAAATCACCTACACCTGAGAAGAACCAACAAGATGAGAGACGAGTTGATTCGCACTTATCAATGGCAACGTGACTATAGATGCTGCTGATCATTTGGTGTTCAGTTTATAAGAAAATAAATGAACCCTTTCATATATTTCTTACTAATTGTCTATATTTTATAGGAGTAGTAGATCCATTAAATATTGATGGCTTTGTCTTGATAAATGAAAATTGACCTCTACACTTGATCTTTCAGGTAACTCGGCAAGAAGCAGAGAAGCTGGCAGGGGCCTATGGAATGCGCTACATTGAGACATCCGCCCGCGACGCCATCAACGTGGAGCACGCCTTCACCGAGCTGACCAGAGAGATCTTCGCCTTGGTACGGTCCGGCGACATCACAATCCAGGAGGGCTGGGAGGGAGTGAAGAGTGGCTTTGTGCCCAATGTAGTCCATTCATCTGAAGAGGTGACCAAGAGCGACCGCCGCTGTCTCTGCTGATCTGGGAACAGGTTGAAAGATGGTTTTAAGAGGAGGGAAACATTCAGAGGGGAGAGACTGCTGGACTGAGGCACTGGCCTCTGTGACTGAAATAATGGATAACCCCTCTGTTGTTCCTTTAGACTGGATGCAGATTTGGATGTTTGAGGAATTTCAATGGAAACATTGGTATAAGGTGAAGAAACACTCTAAACTTGGGTGGATGAGTCAGAGGGTTGTATCCATTTCTGTGTATGTTTTATTCCTCAGAAAGGAAGGATCGCAGGTTTTTATTTAGGGGCTCCCGAAGCCGAATTGGTTTTTGTTTTGGGCTGCTTTCCTAGAAAGACTCTCAAAGGCCTTACACATATGTGTGATTAATTTTGGTAACACATTCAAGTATAACAGCTCTCCTGTTTTATTTTAATTCCCATCACTTCCCTTTTTCATTAACCTTCTCTCAATATGCAAATTATGATCACACAGTAAGACATCACTTCTGGTATTTCCTTGGGAAAAAAACATCAAATTTGGCAAACTAAGGTCGAAAGATGGATGGATGGATGGATTAAACTCTCACTGTTAAAGTTCCATCTTTCTTTTGCCAACATTTCGATCCAAAAGCAATGGAGTAGTCCTAAATTTCTATTACAAAAACTGACTTTATTTGGGCCCTGCATTTTTTGTTTTTGCCACATTTTTTTCTCGAGCAACTTAGGCCTTCAACGAGCTTGTTGACCACACGGTTACATCTACTTATTCTGTTAAACGTCACAATAAAACACCTCCACTTACAACTTCATGGACTCTTACAGCAGGAAGACAAGTGTACAGCTTTGACTGGACAAGTTGAACTTATAACAAGAACTCCCAATAGTCTGTTTTCTACTGGACACAGAAGGTGGACTAATGTGAACGGTGGAGCTTGAAAGCACCTTAACAGCCAAGTCTGTCTGAAGACCCTCATTTGGGACAGAATGCAAATACAGGTAGGCAAACTTGTTGAGTGTCATGAAGGCAAAAACCAACAGAGAGGAACAAGACAGAGAACCATTTGATAACTGGGCTCCATAACCAGTGATGCACGTGTCAGACAGAAGGTAACGTACTGCAATGTGTTCATGCGAAAAAAATACAGTTGACCATCCAACCTATCCAACACAAAGGCACACTACAAGATTGGTTTGGTTCAATGAAAGTGGTTTACTTTGCTTTTTATATCTGTGCAAATGTAAGGTCATATACAACTTTAAGTTCTAGTTTAATGCGCTCCACTTCTGCCAATGGTTGTAACCACCATGGTGACTTTGGTATTGGAGCATATTAAATAAAATGACATTGCAGATGGAAACTGATTTAAATATGGTTTCAAAATCACAGGTTTCAAATCTGACTGCCTAAAATTGATTACTATATTTCAAGATGTAGTCCAACCCCACTGACATGGAAATAAAGTCATAATGCTATAAACCTGTCACTTTTACTTTGCTCTAATAATCAGTGCTTCCTGCTATTCTTAACTGCCTAAGCTGTATTAAAAGGAACCATGTGTCTTTTATGGGAATTTGTGTATTCACTTTCTTTGTATGTTTATTACATTTGATCAATTATAAAACAACATTACCTTCCTTCCCCTTCCCTTTAGCCCATAAACACATCTTGGAGTCACAGTGAATTGCTATATATATAGCATATATATATATATATAGCATATATATATATATATATATATATATATATAATATATATATATATATATATAGCATATATATATATATAATATATATATATAATATATATATATATATATATATACATATATATATATATATATATATAAATAAGAAAAAAGTGAACAGCACTTAGAATGAGTATTGTACAATTCAAGACCGTATGCATTAACAGTATTATGGTACAAAATACCTTGTAAGAATTGTATAGTTATTACTTCCTAGATATGACAAAAATGGATCCCATGTTTTGCCAAAAACGTCTCTATAGTGCCGTCAACATGTCAAATAATGAAGAGGAACATAGTTGATACCTATGCCATACCTTCTGCCATTATGTCTTGGAGGGGATTCTTTCCAGGCAGCACGGTGGTGCAACTGGTAGAGCTGTTACCTCTCAGCGAGAAGCTTGCCAGCTCAAATCCTGGTCCGGGGGCCTTTCTGGGTGGAGTTTGCATGTTCTCTCTGTGCATGCATGGGTTTTCTCCGGGTACTGCACAGTTTCCTCCCACAGACCTGACACAGGCTGATTGGTAACTCTAAATTGTCCCCAAGTGTGAGTGAGAGAGTGAATGGTTGTTTGTCTCTATGTGTCCCAGTGATGGACTGGAAACCTGTCCAGGGTGTACCCCGCCCCTCGCACAGTGATTGTTGGACATGGGCACCAGCGACCCCCGTGACCCAAAATGGAATAAGCGGATAAAGATAATGGATGGATGGGGATTCTTTCCAGTCCTGGAGGAGGCATTTTCTTGCACAGAAAGTTAACATTCTGTAGAGCTTTCTTTTATATCAGTCACTGATAATAGGATCAGTTTCTCCAAGTAACATATTCCAGTATTGTACATCCCTTGTATTCCAATAAAAGGGAAGGGACTGTTATTTCAATTAACAGACATAATTTTGTTCATTTCTATACCAATAATCTGCAAAAATTGTTTCACTTTAATACAAACCAAAAGCAGTGTGTGAAGATGAAGTAGGTTTGAATTTTTACCTTTGATAAGGTGAGATGTGAGTCCTGTGAACAATCATGAGTTGAGTGGCTTTTACAGACTTTTAAGGTTGCATTTCTGCAAACAGCGTTTCTTTCATTATCAGTAATATTACAGTTAAGTACTGTAAGCCGATTTGGTCAAAAAGAGTTGTTGCTCTGAGTTCCATATGTCCTGACCAACCAAGACTGTTGCGTCATTCCAAATAAATTTCCTAAACTGTAATTTCCGGGAAAAGTTTTAATTTGAAATGTGTATTTTTTTTTTTAACAAATCACAGCACCTCCAAATCTGAGGCCATGGTCCTCAACCGGAAAAGGGCGGCATGGAAGTGGAGGAGTTCAAGTATCTTGGGGTTTTGTTCATGAGTGAGGGAAGAATGGAGCGGGAGATTGACAGACAGATTGGTGCAGCGTCTGCAGTATTGTGGACTCTGTACTGGTCCGTTGGTAGTGAAGAGGGAGCTGAGCTGTAAGGTAATACTCTGTTTACCAGTCGGTCGATGTTCCTCCCCTCACCTGTGGTCACGAGCTCTGGGTAGTGACTGAAAGAATTAAATTGTGGATACAGGAGGTTGAAATTAGTTTCCTCCGCAGGGTAGCTGGACTCTCGCTTAGAGACAGGGTGAGAAGTTCAGTTATCCAGGAGAGACTTTATATTTGAAACGTAAGTTGCATTTCAATTACAATATTCCCCTAGCTTTTCCAAATAAAAAAAATTGTTTCAGAATATGGTGGTGTTCACAAGGTCATTGTGGTGCAGCAAAGCTGCCACAAAAACAGGAATCAAGGCGTGGAACGTCACACTGGGTATGAACTGTAAATATACACAGAGAACGCTCTCAGGTCATAAGTCAGAGGAAGGCCTATGCCATCGTTGTGGGTGTCTGAATGCATGAGTGACATTTCAACATTCATTTTTTATCTCTGGAACTCATTATAAAATACTATTTTGAGGTTCATAAAATGTTTCTGTAAAGTCTCAAGGCTGAAACAATTAAAAATGAGTGCATTTTTACAAAAACATCTCCCGTTCTGATAAGTAAATTAATCAAGTCTCTTCTTTTTCAATAAGTTCTATCAAACGCTCATCCTCATCTTTTCTTTAGGCTCTTTCACCAAACAATTCCACAAAATTGTCACAACAATGTGCCTTTATGCTTTCTCTCAGTTCACCGATCTCCATTACAATCTGTACAGATGTTAGTTTTCAGAAATGAGATCATGGAACCAAGAGGTGCAGCAAAAATCAGCTGTGTTGACATGAACACAACGCATTAAACGCATGACAGACGTCGCCCATGTTTTTAAATCATGACATTTTGTTGTGCTGTTCCTGTCGTCACACAGACAGATCACTTCATCACATTGAGCCGCAACACCCTACTTCGGTGTATTGAGCCAGCCAGAAGACATCTGAAACCTCATTTACGGTGCACACCCAAGTTCCACGTCCACCTCAGCACCACTCCACCTGGTGTAGACGGCATTTTGTACCCGTTTGGAAACGTCCGATCCCGATCAGACCAACAAGCGGACTGCAGGTCTGAGAGGTCAAGGCCGAAATTAATTACTGTTGTAAAACAATTCTAGTCTTAGACTCCATCTTTATACTGTTTGTAACTTTTCCACAGAAACTGGCTTCAATAGATGAGAACCTTTAATGTCAGGATATTTTAGGAAATTCAACTGTTTAATTTTTGCAGATCTTTGTTTATCTAATTTTAAGACCCAGTCAGAGTCAGATTTATTACAGTGATGCATAAAGCCTCCATTATCAGTGTATTATTACACACTGCCCACTTCTATTTGTTGCATCTACTTACACTGAAATAATAAACTATTTTCAGAACAACACACAAAGCTGTACGTCAAGATCTCATCTCTTTGACCAAATATTCTTTTTTTTTTTTACTTAATTTTTTAATGAGAAAAGACAAATAAATACAGACAGAACAGTGGCTAAGATGAAAACGGCTGGGAAGAGATGGAGTGTGACAGGTCAAAGGATGGAAAAGCAGCTGGTTTAGAGCAGGATCATATGAACCCCTACAAGTCTGTGACAAACCAAAACTCTTTAATTCTGTCTTCATTTGCTGTTGATATATATTACCCAACTATTAGCGTTGTGTTTAAAACTCTCCGGTGTGTAGATGTTGCTGTGAGAGGACGTAGAAATGTCAGGTCCACCAGACAGGAACAGACGAAGCAAAACAACGCTTTCATAGTCTGCTAAATGAAAATAAATGATACGTATGTGAATCGTTAAAAAGAATACAAAACCGCTTTTTTGAAGGAGTTTTTTGTGTTAGTTTTTACTTGAAAAAATATTTTAAAAAGTAACAAACAGAAAACAGTAGTGGTGGAAGGCTGAGCTCGTCTAAATAGAGGAAACACTGAAAATCAAACTGGACTGTGACACGTGCTTCATTTCTATAACTTCATTTATGGTGATTTAAAAAAAAAAAAAGACTTGTTAGATTCAAATCAAGCAGAGTCCAAACATGCAGGAACATTTCAGACGTGTCCTCTATGAGCCGAGCTGTGGGGTCAACGGACTTCAGGGGTCTATAGTTGTAATGACGAGGGAGGAGAGCAGGAGGGAGAGACGGACTCTGTCTCGTTTAATTAAGGCTTGTCTGCTGACTTTAGGAGGTTTTCTTTGCTCCTTCTCTTCACGTCCCAGTTGTAGACTCGTGCCATGTCTGGAGGAAGCAGTTAAGATGGAACAGGAACAAAGAGAGTTCAACTCATTACCTTTAGGCTTCTGTTTGGACATGGAAATGGTGGTTCAGCTTTACGACTGTACTACCAACAAGAACTGCAGCTATAGGATACCTTAGTAAGCCTTATCAAATAACACAATAAGTGTTTGCGTAATCAGATACACATGTACTGGATAAGTTGTTCCCAACTTTTAACCTGGGATTGGACCTTGCATACCTCAGTTTCGGGAGGATGCGAGAATCTTTCTCCACATCTGTGACAGACGTTCCTTATTTTTTGTTTCTCTATCCAAGACAATAAAAGTTTGGCAGACAGAGCTGAATGACAGAATTAGCAGAGACTCTGATTGGACTGAGTACCACATCTTGTCTTTTGACAATCAAAAAATGTTTAATTTCTTTGACAATTTGAAGGCAGGGAGCTCCTCATCTGGAAACATAAATTTCATGTTGTCATGCTGGAAACATTGACACCTACTGGTTAAACAGGGAAACAGTTGACTTCAAATGACTTCAAAGTGGTTTTCATGTCAGAAATCATATGAAATAAATAATTAAAACTTGTCACCGCTTTTTTTTTAATACCCGCAAACCATAGTGCAGCAAGTTCCAGAGGCTAAAACCTAAAGACGTAAACTTTGGGAGGTCTGTTGGTGACACAGCTGACTGGATGATTTAAGAGTCAGATCTATGAAGGTGGTGGAGTTATTACACCTACTTTAACTAAAAAACTAAAAGATGGCTGCCATCATGAAGGCATGTATGTTACAGCAGTGGGCGAAACGGGACAAAGATCCAATCTAAATCTAAGTTCACCAGGTGTAAACAACATGGAGAGAGCAGGTCAAACAGACTGGATGAACCTGTGGCAGAAATATCGAGTCTTTGAAGGAATAATCGCAGATTACGAAGAGAAACTGTCGAGTTTGAGAGATAATGAGCGCAGGAGCTAATAAGACAATGACAACGCCCGTCAAGCAAACTTTAAACCCAGTGCTCACTCCAAGCAGCTCCCTGTCTGACCCAACCAAGAACTGAGCTGCTATCTGACCCGATTGCCGTTTCACCGTCTTGTTTCTGCTCCGTGACAGAAACGCTCTCTGGAAAACGTCAACGACCAATCTGCAGTCGAGGCGTGTGTGCAGAACTCAGCAGGTTTAAGAGAGCATCGGGTGCGCAAAATCATAAAGGTGAGGAAAACAAACCTGCAGAAAAAAACAGCAGAATGAAGCTGTGTTGGTGACCTAGTTGTTACGAGCAAGAAATTGCGCCGCTCAAGGTGGCTGCTTGTTGGAGCAGCTCTGTTACTTTCATTCTGAGATTTTGCTTTTGTAAACTTTAATTCCTCTTTTTCTGGATGTAAATCACATTTTTTGGATGATTGTTTCCTCTGGTATCGGATGCTGTGCAGTTGGAAGGATTTTTACGGAAACTTTTTTAGTTTTGGACATTTGTTATGATGCGTAACCATGGCAACAAGGCAGTTTCTACAACCAACAGCAGCTGATTAACATCTCAAAATCTCAAGTAATATCTCAACTACAGCCCTAAATTTCAAATGAGTTGAAAAGGATGTTCTGTGGACGCATTCTCATCTACCTGCCAGCTGTGCTCGAGTGCCTGACCACTGAGATCCTGGAACTAGCAGGAAACATGGGTCATGACAGCGGAAGGACAGGATCGTCCATCAGCACCTACAGTTGGCTGTCTGCAGCGATGAGGAGCTCAACAAGCTGCTGGGAGGAGTGGCCATTGCCCTGGGAGGAGTTCTGCCCAACATTCAGGTGATCCTGAAGCCCAGGAGGCCAACCAAGTGCAAGTAAACGGATCAATATCTGTGGCCAGTTTTTTCAGATCTGCTATAAGACGGACCATCACAAGAGATCCTTCCCGCCCACAACCATCAACATCTAGAACAACTCTTTTATGAAACAAGGAAAATGAGCTACAACAACATTTAATTTCCCTCTGAGATTAATAAAGTATTTTTGAATTGAATTGAAGACCAAAACCAGGCCCCAAGTTCCAGCACCAAGCCAGGACTCCTCTACCAGCCATCACTGATGGACTTTATGCCAGCAGTTCTACACCATCAGCCATCAGGTTAGTGCACCAGTTAGGCCTGTCACGATAACAATTTTGCTGGGCGATTGTCTCAGAAATTATTGCGATAAACAATAATATTGTTTGAAATTTGATAATAATTAGTAATTAATGTCAAATTTAAGAAAAAATGTTGATTAATTTGTATGTAGTACCTTTTTGACCACTGGATGGCAGTATAAGACGGTTTGAACTGAGGGATGGATAGTGAGGGACTGAACAGCGTGTCTAAGAAAAATGGGAGGGAGGCCCCTTGACGTGACATGGGCTGTCGCTCATTCCGTTTTTTCGGTTCTCAAAATGGCGGATGCTCGGTGTGGTTTGAGCTCTTTAGCATAGCATTTGTCACACAAAGCTTTTATTTAATAAAATCTGTAAAAAAAAAAAAAAAAAAAAGAGTACTCAAGCTTCTTTTCGCAGAGAAAAACAACATTTTATACGAAGCCACAGGTTTCAACTGTGAATTTTAGAGCTTCGACAAGACGGAGGTTTTTTCCCCCGAGGTTGGCTTGTTAGCTTAGCTCGTAGCTTAGCTGCTTTTATAGAACAATAAAGATGATAAATGAAAATGACGTCGATAATTTTCATTCATCATGAGATTAATTGATTTATTGTTTATCGCGACAGGCCTAGTACCAGTTTCTACTGGAACGGTTCATCAACAGCCCGAGCCTTGGCTCAAACTGCACGTTAACATCACAAACGTTACTAGTTTTGGGTGTCTTGGATGAAGAAGCATCAGAGGGTGGATAAACTTCTCAGCTGTCACTTTGTCTTAAATGTGAGACCACCTGTATACTCGTACCTGGTAATAATTCTGAACAGTACATGTCACTATTTGTTTACCGTATCAAAAGCTCACATTCACCATGCTTTGTTCCATCGCATTCAGGCGCTACTGCGGTCAGTTCAGACACAACAGACCCCATCGTGGAAGGATACTGACTTCAGTGGTGGTGAACTGGTCTCGCAGGAAATCTAAGTCATCTTCGAGGGTCTCCAGGTTGCGAGACGCCGTGGACAAGTTCTTCTCCAGGAGGGCCTGGGCTTCGTCGATGTCGTACTCTAACATGACGTTAGCCTGTCGGGAAGGAAACGACAGCCCTCAGCAACAAAGGATGTTTAACAGAAGTCAGAAGTTAAGATGATAAAACGTTTTCCTGAGCTCTACTCACTCCTAACCATAGGCAAACTTTGTCGGTAGGCGGCACGGAGGCCTTGCAGTAAACGTTGTCAGCCAGCAGGAAATGTGTTTCCATTGACTCTGTGGTGTCCTGCATTAACAAAAGCTTTATAAATATCTTTTATTATCCCAGTCAGGAAGGTCAGGTGGTTGGTTCAGTTTAGTTGGGATCATTTTGGGAGCACTTTTTCACATAAATGAACATTTCTCTATACATTCTATCAAAGAATATGGACGTGAGCTTCATTTACTTTCTGTATTTTTATATTCACCCATGATTAAAAGTATTACAGCTATTTTAATCAGCAAATGCTTTTTTTAATTTAAGCTTATTTTCACAAAATAAACAGGACTTTGAAACACAGGCAACAATAATAATAATAATAATAACAGCTTGCTTTAAATTAAGTTTCAGTCGTTGCCATCGTCACTTGGTAAAGTCTGAGCTGGTGTCAAAACGAGCTGCAGAAGAATTCAGATTTCCTGCTTTGCTTTTTACACTGAACACCACAAAGTAAACTTTACAAACAATTAAAAAAGCTAATTTTAAGATTAATAAGAGCCGGTTTACACAGTTGTCACACACCTTTTTTTTCTGCATATGCCGAAGGATTTCTAGTGTCTGTGTGATTTGCGGGATCTGGCTTTTCAACCTGCACGTGAAATACAATAAATTTAAATTAATAAAAATAATCCAGGCACCCAGTACATTATTATACAAATACAACATGTTGTATTAATACAACAAATAGGTTTAATGCGATTATTGCAAACTAAGCTGTAAAACTCAGTTTCTGTGTTTAGTGTTACCGGAGTTTCTTCTGAGACAAGTTGACCTCCATGTATTTATATTTCTGGTACTGCTCGTCCAGCCTCCTAAGCACTGCGTCTGCCGTCTCGTTCCCAGGCAGCTTCATAAAGGAGTCCACATCCTCCTGCAAAATACAGCAGGCAGCTATTAAAAAGATCTGATTAATCTGAAAACTCAAAGTGACCGGTTTATTTCAAGTGTGAGATCTGCAGCACTCACTTCCTGACAAATTAGAGCGCTAACACACAATGACATAAACCGCTTCACCACTGATCAGGGCGACTCGAGTCGAGTCCCATCTTATTGGTTCTTCTCAGGTGCAGCTGATTTGACACTGTGGCTTGTTTCCCGGCTTTGTGGGACGGATCGTAACTGTAATCTGACTTCAATTATGTTTTGCTTGTTCCAGCACTAGCTAAAGGTCCGGGTGTAGCCGAGCTGCGCCATCATCTCTGTAAATGTACGCATTTCTTGTGGCGCTGTCCAGCTCACGCTGACCCCTAACATCAACCAATAAAGTTAGGAAGGTTTGGACCTCATCATTGCTCCACAACACTACTTTTGGAGCTTTCATACCGAGCTACAAATTAGAAAAAAAAAAAAAAAAAAAAAAAAAAAAAAAAAACAATAATCGGGCGGGTCATCCAGTGACATAGCTCCACTGGTCAATCAACAGCTGTCTGCTTATGTCTAAATCGTCACATTGGAGCAGTTCACTTTGAACCACAAACAAGGTGGTCCCAATGGTCCCATCGGCGTATTGTTTTATTAGTGCTTAGCATATTTTTTGTTAATGTTTTTCTTAGTTCATATCTTGGATTTTACAACTGTTTTTCTTTTACATTTTATTGTTGGATGTAACTGGGACCCTGCGTACATAATGTCATTCCACGACAACAAAGAATCTCTGACTCTGATAAACCGGGCTGAGTGGGGGTGGGTACCGACAGTGTGCAGGCCCTTAACTAGTGCAGTGTGGTAAATGGACTGTATTTATATAGCACCTTTCTATCTTATCAAGACACTCAAAGCTCTTTACACTACAACCTGTGCCTCATCTACCCATTCATACAGCACTCTACTAGATCTCTACAAAGCTAATTGAACAAATCATTCTAAAGAGACTAATCAGAGCTTTATCATATTCATACACAGATGGGACACACATCAGAGGCAATGAGGGGTTCAATGTCTTGCCCAGGGACACTTCAACATGTGACTGCTGGTGGATTCAAACCCCCAACTCTTGCATTGGAGGACGACTGCTCTAACCACTCAGTCACAGCCGCCCTGCTACACAATAGCAAAGCACCAATATCTAACAAGGTTGAGTCTTGTTAGATTAATCTACCTGATTATTGAGCATGCATCAGCATGAAGCACCAGTAGTGTTTTAGTTGATCTACTAACAGTCTACATCAGGGCTATTCCATTAAATTGCTCAGGGGGCCACAATTACTGAAATCCAAGAGCTCAGGGCCCGAACATCTGGCAGTTATTGTCATTAAATAAGGTTGTTTTACAATTTATAATCAAGTTTTATTTTAAAATGAACCAACTGGTGGGCCGAAGTGAGCAGGCTTTTTTAATATCTACATGATGACACACAAGCTCTTATTTGAATCTATTTTTTATTACTTTTGCCTTCAATTTATTCTTTATTATTTTCAAAGTGGCTGAGATGGGGTAGAGGCAGGGAAGGTGACTTGGGATCCCAAAGTCCCAGGTTCAATCCTGAGCCATTCCCACATGTCGTGGTGTCTCTGAGCAAGACACTCAATCCCTAATTGCTCCCCGGGTGCCCACATAGCTGCCCACTGCTCCACCTGGATGTACTCCAGGTGCGATGGGTTAAAAGAAGAGAACCAATTTTACCATTGTATGGAAACATACAATGATCACACATAGCACTTTATTAATTTATCTTCCTTGAGACGTCTAGTGATGAGATTTACAGCTCCTGAATGGGAGCTGGATTCTGAGGATTTGTTCCGTACATAGAGCAGTTTATAAGAACCAAGCTTTTAACAGTTAGTCAGGTGGTACAGTGGCATGACATCACTACGTGAATAGTGACAGAACTACTTATGCATGTAGTGATGTTCAGCTGCAGCCACTCTTGCTTGTGCAAGAGTGTTAACCCATTTTTAACCCCCTTCCCTCCTGAGTGAATGCTGCCACCACGACTGCTGTGCTCCTCCCTTTTGCCCATTCTTCATCTCAGTTGAGCAGTAATGGTGTGTCTGCATCGATGTGAAATACGAGGGGAAAGAGAATGGCTCACATCCACCTGCGACTCCATTCCCAATGATCGTTTCAAGAAGTCGCTAAATATATTCAATCATTCACCCTTTATTTATACAGGTTACTCTCATTGAGACTAGATTTGGACTGTTCATGAACGCCACACCTATAACAACCCGTCTTACTTAACAAGAACACTTCCATCTCAGCAGGCTGGTGTCTTGATCCAAAAGTCTCAATTTCAGTTTTCTGACTGCACTGATTTCAGATGCTCTCCGTTTTTAAAGCTCTACTCCAATACTATGTTAAATCAAGCAATTACGGTACTTCAAATTTAAACAAGTATTTAATGCATTCTGAAAATTTAGTTTGCTGTGTACCATATTTCATTCTGATTGTTCAGCACTTCGGGTTTCGCCTGTGACTCAAAAACAAAATATTGTACTATAAAGTGAGTCCTTGTGGCTCAGTGCGACTAACCTGTATAAATGAAGGTTGAATGAATGGGGAAAAAAACCTGAGGAGGTAAACTTTAAAGCGGGCAGCACGGTGGTGCAGTTGACAGAGCTGCTGTCTCTCAGCAAGCAGGTTGACCTGGTTCAAATCCCGGTCCGAGGACCTTTCTGGGTGGAGTTTGCATGTTCTCCGTGCATGCGTGGGTTTTCTCCAGGTACTCCAGTTTCCTCTCTCAGACCAAAAACATGCATGTTAGGCTGACTGATAACTCTAAATTGTTCCTAGGTGTGTGAGAGAGAGTGAATGGTTGTTTGTCTCAATGTGTCTCTGTGATGGACTAGAGACCTGTCCAGGGTGTCCCCTGCCTCTTGCACAGTGATTGCTGGACATGGACACCAGTGACCCCCACAACCCAAAAAGGAAGAAGCGGGTAAAGATGATGGATGGATCTTTAACGCTACAAACTTTATAACTAGTTTACCTCTTTTGTCCTTCTGTTATATGATTTTCATAATATAACTTATCTGCCTTTATAGATATTTGTAAAACAAAATGATAAATAAAAGTAAATAAAGATCATAGTTTATTTACAAGTAATATTTTACTGAATTCACCAGCAATGTTTCCCGTTGATGACTTGCCAGTTTGTTTTATAGAAATAAATGACAGTACACCTGACAAAAAGCAGAATGTACATAATATTAATCATATTATTATTAAGCTGCATTCATTAGACTGGATGCAAATAATCAGGATTGTACATTTAATTCGTGAACAATAAGGATAATATTAAGCCAGCTAATCTGTCACCAGTGCAGCTACCAGTTATAATGGCCACCTGAAATAACCTATAAGCTCTAAAATATACAACCTAGCCTGAATATAACCAGCAGACAGTATGCCCATACATGGAAGCGAGCAGCCGCCCAACATGCACACACAGCAGGATCGGCTGTTAGCTCCGCCGCTAACTTAGCCACCTAGCTCGCGGTCCAGATGAAGCCCCCGACACACCGTCCAACTCCACGAAGCTTTAACCTTACAGTAAACTAGTGAAACTGTGAGAACGGTCAGGTTTTACGCACCACAAACACTGCTTCAGGGATTCCCAGGTGCTTTTTCTTTGTCGCTTGTGCAGCATTGCTATTGTCTATGACCGCCGTCATGTTGAAAAGAGACTCCTTCCTGCCTGACGTATGCGCATGCGTACAAGACACAAGAGGAGGCGAGCAGAGACTTGGCTGCCTCTAGCGGTCATAATCTGATACTGCACGTACCTGACGAGGCGTCAACGTCGTGTTGGCTGGCTGTCGTTGGTCAAAGACCACCAGTGTGGCAAGCACTTTTAACATAAAATTGGATTCACCACGCTTACATTCCAGATATCTGAAACTGATTTATGACTAGACATATTAGTTATTTAAAATATCTTTAATTATATTTTGACAAGTCAAAATACTTATTTGAGATATCTCAAATTACATTCTGACTAGTGTAAATGACGTCAGATTTACCACTGAGTTGTATGGAGGCTTCCATTCAAGATATCTTAAACTGAATTTTGACTAGTCAAAATTCAGTTTAAGATATCTTGAATTGTTATTCTGACTAGACAGAATGTAAATACAGATATCTTAAATTAGCATTATGACTAGTCAAAATGTAATTGTTCCTAGTCAAAATTCAATTTTAGATATCTAGAATGTAACTACAGATAGTCAGACTACTCGATTTTATGTTAAAAGGGCTTGCCATATTGGAGGGAAACTTGTCAGGAGACAGAGGGAGAAGAGGAAAGTTAAGAATGTAGGACTGAGGAGTGCAACTCTGGATGTGAGAACGTTGACAGTTAGAGATCTGGCTGACATGATGCAGAGAAGGAAGGTAGATGTTTTTTGTGTCCAAGACACCAAGTGGAAGGGCAGCAAGGCTCGCAACATTGGAGCAGGGTTTAAACCAGGGCTATTCAACTGGTGGCCTGCGACTGACTTCAATCCGGTCTACTTCTTTTTTTCTTTTTTTTTGGTGGGGGGGGGGGGGGGGGTGAGTTCTGGGTTTGGGTTTTGGGTTCTGGTTCTTGCATTTATGATTCAGTGCAATACAAAAGTTAACAGTTCATTTTAAACTTTGGTTTATTTATATAATGATTTTAATTGCTGGATGTCCAGCCCCCGAGCTGTTGGCTTTCAGAAACTGCGGCCCCCTGAGCAGTTTTGTTGAAAAGCCCTTGTTTAAAATGTTTTACAATGGTGTGGACAGAGAGAAAAATGGAGTAGGGGTGTTCCTGAAGGAGGAGTTGGCAAAGAATGTAGTAGAGGTGAAACAACAAGTGTCAGATAGGGTGATGTGTCTGAAGGTAAGTAGAAGGTCTGACGCTAAACATTGTCAATGGTTATGCTTCACAGGTTGGATGTGATGTGGAGGAGAAAGATACATTTTGGAAGATTCTGGATGAAGTGATAAAGAGTATTCCCACAGAGAAGAGAGAGTGGTGACTGGAGACCTGAATGGACGTGTTGGTGAAAGAAACAGCGGATGAGAAAGTGAGGCAATCCAATAAGGAAACTTTCTTACGCCTAGATGCAGCCACAGGCCTGAATGGAAACCAGTACCTCATTTATTTTTCAAGTTATGCTTACAACATGCATGGATGGATGAACGATCGAATGGAGAGTATTTTCCAACTCTCCCTCTTCACTCCATAAGGGACAACAAAAATGCTTACATTTGGTACTTGTTTCTTTGTCCTGTTGTACCAACCAGCCATGATCCTCATACTGAGGAGGTATGACCTAGTCAAGTTGTTAAACACAGTTTGTTACACAGAATAAAACATCACAGTTTAACAGTTTGCCTAAGTTGCACCTCATTCTTCAGGGTTGTAGATGGAGAAGTAGAAATAAGGCAAAGCAGCAACTAGAAGATGTTTTGAGATGTCAGAGCTTGCTGGTTGTTTGTCCATCACCACTTCAGTATGCAGCAGACAAACTATTGGAGATATTCAAAAACCAATCATGGCTGATTTAGCATAAGTCCTTCATGTAAACTTCATGGAGATTCACTGTCACTGAGCCTGATACAAAGTCCAAGCAAGGTTTTAAGTTTGAATGTAGTTCCTCTCATCTGTTTGAACAAATAAATCTTATTTTAGTCTGACACTTTTCAAAATTTTGAGATTTAGATTGACAATTTAGGTTACAGCACTTGATGAATAAATTTACAAGAAAATGGAAGGACAAATGAAATAATAATATGGAATAACAATAATTATATTTTAAATTAAGTAAAATTGGTGGCACGGCAGCTCAGTTGGTAGAGCTGCTGCCTCTCAGGGAGAAGGTCACTGGATCAAATCCCAGCCAAGGGCATGGGTTTTCTCCAAGTACTCCAGTTTCCTCCCACAGATCAAAAACATGCATGTTAGACTGATTGGTAACTGTGAGTGAGAAAGTGAATGGTTGTTGTCTCTTTGTCCCTGTGATGGACTGGAGACCTGTCCAGGGTGTACCCCACCTCTCCCACAGTGACCTCTGGACATGGGCCCCAGTGGCTCCAGTGACCCCTGTGACCTAAAAAAGAAGAAGCGGGTAAAGATAATGGATAGATGGGTATTTATCGCTTAGTCACAAGTAGGTTTACTTGTGATTCCTAGAGTTCACCAAAGCAGAATGCAGAAATCAGCAGCACTGATAAGTCACATATCACCAATTAAAGTGGCATTACATTGATTTTATTTTTTCACAGTACTAATCCCGGTTAGGGATTTATGAGTCTAACAGCTTCAGGGTAGAACCTGTTCCTCAGTCTAGTGGTTCAAAATCTTCTCAGCAAAACGACAGTGTCCTGGAGAACCCTCTTGTCCAGCTGAGACTCACTCTGTGGGGTACATCAGAGATCCGTGGTGAGTTTGGCCGCTGATGTGTCTTTCAGTTCTGTCTCAGGAGGATGTTTATATATTTGGATTTATGATAGCAGGGTTTCTGCTCTTTGGCATCGGTGAAGCTCTGTTTTAGAAACTTTTTTTTTCATAATTGCATTGCATGTTTGACGGTTGAATTAAAGGTTAATGCTTAAAGCTAGTTGTGCTTTATTTTGTGTGATTTGTATGTAGAAATAGCTATGATTGCATATGTGGCACTATGATGAATATGTATAGGAAAAATGTATGAAAAACATATATGATGAATACATGAAAATAGTTGCTCCCCCATTTTATTTTTATACGTAAAGACACTAGAACTAGTGTTTATGTCTATTTTGCTATAAAACTGTGTAATATAGGTTTCGACAACAGAGGGCACTTGGTACCTCACATACGTCACTTAGTGTTCATGGATGACCATAGTACAGTTTAAAAAATGATTAACCCACATGTATGAAAGTTGTTGTTACTTGAATGAAAATATAGGTAACTGTGAATCTTGTCTATTATAAAGCAGAGATGACTTGGATGTTCTGCTCTTTATCGTTTTCGCCAATGCAAAGTAGATGTAAAACTGTTCTGACTGATCTGATGCAAACAGTATGCTAACAGGCTGTGATGCATAACTATACAAACAAATCCAAGACATTCTCCATCCTCTTCACCAGTAATCACCATCAGAGTATTTTAAATATTTTAGGATGGGTTTTGCCAGTTTATACATCCTATTGCTAAATATCCATCCATCCATCCATCCATTATCTTTACCCGCTTATTCCTTTTGGGGTCACGGGGGTCGCTGGTGCCCATGTCCAGCAATCACTGTGCGAGGGGCGGGGTACACCCTGGACAGGTCACAAGTTCATCACAGGGCCACATAGAGACAAACGAGACAAACAACCATTCACTCTCTCACTCACACCTAGGGACAATTTAGTTACCTATCAGCCTAACATGCATGTTTTTTGTCTGTGGGAGGAAACCGGAGCATCCGGAGAAAACCCACACATGCACGGAGAGAACATGCAAACTCCACCCAGAAAGGCCCCTGGACCGGGGTTTGAACCAGGGACCTGCTCGCTGAGAGGCAGCAGCTCTACCAGTTGTGCCACCGTGCTGCACATTGCTAAATATGAGACAACTATTTAGTCATTTTCAGGATAATATTTTTCACTTTTAATCATGTAGCATGAATATTTGCCCCCCTGGCTATGACCTCTGACCCTTGGGTTGTATACCAGACTCACCATGAACAGTTTTCTTTAAAGTTACTTTTGATTTGAATAATGTTGGAAGTTTTCTCACATTCACTGTCCTTGGACTCAGAGTTAGATACAATATGACTAATGTTTACTCTTTTCTTTAGGCTTTTAAGAAAGAAAAACAAAATTGGTAATGAAGTTTGTTTCATTTGATTATGACAGGTGTTAACATGAATAAAGTTGATTATTGTTTTCAATCATTATAATGAAATTATGTGAAATATTATAATGTTTTTAACATCCTCTCTCTATTTTCTTTTTCAGAAAAGTACTTTTCCTTGAGAGACATCTGTGTGTACATGTTTGAGTCAGAATCTGTTTACTTCAGAGGGGAGTCACAACATCTGAAAGTTCTTTAAAATACTTTAGAGAGCTGATGGTTCACACAAAGTTTCTTTGTTTGACACTCTTGCAGTTCGTCTTCGTCCCCATCCTGATGTGTTTGTCTGATGTCCGTCTTCGTTTATTCCTGAACAAATAAACATGTTTGCTCAGTTATAACTTTTGTTAGAAGCAAAGTAGACGTTTCAAGTTCAAGTTTCTTTTGTCATTCACATCAAATGTGGTACACGAGGTGGAATGAAATTGTGTACTCAAGGTCCCAGTTACACCCAAAAATATAAAGTATAAAAAGATACAGTATTTAAGGAGCTAAGATATACGCTGAGTTATATGCCAAATGAAGGCTAAACAAAGATATACGTTAAACACTAATAATGTAAAATAATACGATATAATAAACAGCAACATGAGTCTGTATTGAGTAGATGGATATGAATGAGCTTGAACATGAGATAATCAGCAGCATGAGATCAGCAACATGGATAATCAGCAGCACAGATAAGTCACATATCACCAATTAAAGTGGCATTACGTTGATTTTATTTTTTCCACAGTGATAATCCTGGTTAGGGATTTGTGAGTCTAACAGCTTCAGGGTAGACGCTGTTCCTCAGCCTAGTGGTTCAAAATCTTTTCAACAAAACAACAGGGTCCTGGAGAGCCCTCTTGTCCGG